GTCTCCTGCCTCTCCTTATACACACAGTATCCTCCAGGTCCACTTCCTCTCATCTCTTTCCTTGGAAACTGGTAGTCTGCTCCCTTTTCCTAGAAGCCCGACTCTTGTCCTCCAGCACTTGGAGCGTGCTCTGATCCGCCCATGTGGGGTATGTGCCATACCTGGGCTTCCACTGCCCCCCAGCCTCCTGCTGAGAGAGCATGTGCCCTGTGCTCTGTGGCTCTCTGCCTGTCTTCCTATCCATGGTCAAGCAGGGCAGGACCCTGTCTGATTCACCTTCAGAACCTCAGCCCTGGGCACAGTCTGCCTTGCATAGGTCAATGCTTGGTAAATGTATCCTGACCGAAAAGAAGATGACTGATTTCCAACAGACTCGTATGCAAGAGTAACACTGGCTGGGCACATGTGGGAAGCCCCTGATGGAGCTGGCCAGGCTGTATCACTGTGCCGGGTGACAAGAACAGCTAATGCTTGCCTAAAATGCACGAGGCCTTGAACTCCATCCCCAGCATCACAGGAGAAGAAGAAGGAGGAAGAGAAAGAAAGAAAGCAGCTAATTAGTCTCATTCTGGGAAGAAGCTGAGGGTCAAGGAATATATTTACCATCTATTTACCTGCCAGTTGGGTCCTGTTGATTCAGGTAAATTTTATGTAGAATATAAAATGCTACTAAAGAAAAGGTGTGATAAGGCTTCATTCAATTTTTTCAATGTCATAATTTTCAGTTTTATAACATTTCAAATGTTATTATCAAATGAGTAACAATCACATTTCATTATAGTAATGATTTTATATACATATGTATACATATATATATTATAGTATCACATATAATTATATAAAGATAAATTAACTGATAGAACATAATAGAGAATGTAGAAATAGACCTATACATATTTGGTTTGTTGATTTTTTATAAATATTTATTTTTTAGTTATAGGTGGACACAATATCTTTATTTTATTTTTCATGTGGTACTGAGGATCAAGCCCAGCGCCTCTCGAATTCTAGGTGAGTGCTTTACCTCTGAGCCACAACCCCAGCCCAGTTAATTGATTTTTGACAAAGATATAAAGACAGTTCAAAGGAGAAATGAGTCTTTTCAACAAATTATGGTGATGGAATAACTGAATAGCCATATGAAAAAGAGACAAAATAAAACTTGATCCGTGGGCTGGGATTGTGGCTCAGTGGCAGAGTGCTTGCCTCACACGAATGACGCACTGGATTCGATCCTCAGTATCACATAAAAATAAGTAAAATAAAGGTATTGTGTCCATCTACAACTAAAAAAAATTTTTTTAAAAACTTGATCTGTACCTCACATAAGATAAAATTTCATTAAAATGGATCATAACTAACTGTAAAACCTAGACCAGAAAACTTTTAAAAGAAGGCTAAAAGGAAGATTTTTAAAAATATTTTTTAGTTGTTAGACTTTTATTTTATTTATTTGTATGTGGTGTGAGAATCGAACCCAGTGCCTCACCCACATGAGGCAAGCACTCTTCCACTGAGCCATAACTTCAGCCCTGCAAGAGAAGATATTTTATGACCTTAAATTGGCAAAAATTTTCTTAGATTATAGCACCAAAAGCACAAGCACATAAAGGAAAAAATAGACTTCATCAAAACTAAAAGTGTCTTCAAAAGACACAATTAAGAGAATGGAAAAAAAAAAAAAAAAGGCTCAGAGAAAATATTTGCAAATCACAAATCTGGTAAAGAGCGGAATCCAGGAAATGTAAGGAACTCTCAAGACAATGATAAGAAAATAACCCAATCATGGGCTGGGGCAGTGGCTCAACGGTAGAGCACTCACCTAGCATGTGTGAGGCTCCGGGTTCGATCCTCAGCACCACATATAAATAAATAAATAAATAAATATATCATGTCCATCTACAACTAAACACAAATTTTTAAAAAAGAAAGAAAATAACCCAATTAAAAAGAGCAGAGAGGCTGGGGTTGTGGCTCAGCAATAGAGCACTTGCCTTGCACATGCAAAATGCTGGGTTTGAGCCTCAGCACCATATAAAAAATAAATAAATAAAATAAAGGTATTGTGTCCAACTACAACTAAATATATATATATATATATATATATATATATATATATATATATATATATTAAAAAAAAGAGAGAGCAGGCTGGCTGGGGTTATGGCTCAGAGGGAGAGCACTTGCCTACCATACATGAGGCACTGGGTTCGATCCTCAGCACCACATAAAAATAAAATAAAGATATTGTGTCCACCTGTAACTAAAAAATAAATATTTTTTTAAAAAGAGCAAAACATTCCATTAGACATTTCATCAAAGAATACAATGGATCGTAAATGCCTTAGTCTACTTTGTGCTGCTATAACAGAATACTTCACACCAGGTAATTTATGAACAGTAGAAGTTTGTCTGTCTTGTGGTTCTGGAGACTGAAAAGGCCAAGATCAAGGAACCAGATCTAGTCAAGGTCTTCTTACTGCTGTATCATTTCATGGCTACCACTGAGCCACAACCCCAGCCCCTGTTTTTTTTTTAAATTTTTTATATGTATATTTTAGTTGTTGATGGACCTTTATTTTATTCATTTATTTATATGTGGTGCTGAGAATTGAACCAGCACCTCACACATGCTGGGCAAGTACTCTACCACTGAGCCACAACCCCAGCCCTAATCCTTAAAAATAAGAAAGGAGCTGGATGCACACACCTATAATCCCAGCAACTCGGGAGGCTGAGACAGGAGGATCGAAAGTTCAAAGCCAGCCTTAGCAACAGCGAGACACTAAGCAGCTTAGTGAGACCTTATCTCTAAATAAAACACAAAGTAAGGCTGGGGATGTGGCTCAGTGATGGAGTGCCCCTGAATTCAATCCCCAGTACCAAAAAAATAAAAATAAACAAGAAAGTAGCTGGGCTCAGTGGTGCCCACCTCTAATCCTAGCAGCTTGGGAGGCTGAGGCAGGAAGATCGAAAGTTCAAAGCCAGCCTCAGCAACTTAGCAAGGCCCTAAGCAACTTAGCAAGATCCTGTCTCTAAATAAAAAATAAAAAGGGATGGGATGTGGCTCAGTGGTTAAGTGCCCCTGTGTTCAATCCCCAGTACCAAAAGAAAAAAAAAATGTGCCTCACTGAAAATTTTAATATGCATACTGTCCTGGGCAGTGATTTGGCCTTGAGATGGGCAGGGATAGGCAGTCAGGCATCCCCTGTGGTTAGATGTGGTCTAGGTGGTCCAGCCTTTGGGGGAAGAAATTGGCAGGATATGATTTTAAATTGACCCAACATTGACTCACAGGCAATTATTTTAAAAAGCAATTAATGAACTGTGAAGGAGGAATGCTTGATCATCTGTTACAACATCTTCTGAAAAGTAAAAATCTCTGGAAACAAGGGAACAAGATATATTTTGTCATGTTCAAATACTGAAATACCATACAGTGATTTAAACATGTTCTAGAAGAACACATTGAATATACAAAAAAGTGAAAAAAGGAAATTACTTTTTCAAGTTCAGTTCTGTCTCTTCTTAGAATATTTCTCTATTTTTTTATTCCTTCATAAAAATTTTTGGAGGAGAAATATGAAAATGTCATCAGTCCTTCTCTGTGGCTTTATGTGTTTCTTCGTTTCTTGAATTTTTCACAACAAAACACAAAAATATAGTAAAGCCCATAAATATGTGAGCTGTCGATGTAAAAAGAGTATTTAATAGTCACATTCTGAATAAAATTATGTGACTCACCTATAACCTAGCACATTTCACTCCAGTGTGTGTCCACCAGAGAAGTGAACCCACACAGACTCATCCTGGGATGTCCACAGCAGCAAGCAGTGGGAACAACCAGAGGCCCACAAAATGTGTGTGTCCACAAGGAAAAATATTACTTCTCCATTAAAAAAATATATATATCACTGAAACCTTGGTGGACCTTAAAACATTGTGCTCAGTGAAGAAACAGACACATCAGGCCACAAACTGTATGATGCTATTTAAATAAAATGTCCAGGAAAGACAAATTCAGAGACAAGAAGTAGATTAATGGTATCGAGGGCCTGGGTAGGATGGGAGTGACTATTTAGTGGGCATGGATCTTTTTAGGTGATAAAATGTTCTAAAATTAGGTTTGGATACTGATGTACAATTCTGTAAATATATTAAAATTTGCAGAATCGTACACTTTTAAGTGGATGAATATTATGGTTTAAAATAGAGCTTTTTAAAACTAATATTACAATAAAATTGTAAGGCTAACCCTGATGACTTCTGTACAAAAGGGGCCTACCGGATTTCGTCACTCTGATGGTATCTGAGCCACGTGGACTTGGGTTCAGAGTGTGGAACAGTGTAACTGAACTCAGCAGACCTTAATGTAGTGCTGGCTCTGGTTCACCAGGGGGATGCGCACAGGTAGCTTCAGGTTCTCATGGAGAAACAGCACAGGGGGTATCCAGCTCCCCGACACTTGTCCTGAGTGAGGCTCCAGTGGGACCCACCCTGCCAGTGGACTCCCTCCACCAGAAGACTGCCAATCAGAGCCCTTCTGGATCTCTCACACATGGGGGGGGGACCTTATGGCAGAGGCAGGAAGCACACCCCCTGCAGCCACAGGCCTGGGTCTGGACCCTGCCCCTGGAAGTACCTATGAGGCCAGAGGAGCTACTTCCCTCTCCTCCCCTCAGTCTTCTCTTCTGTGAAATAAGCATAATAACAGTACTTTCTTTGTATAGGAAGTGCTTCAGAAAGTCGAACCAATTAAATGGGATGGTGTTGTTAAAGCTCAGCTCCTGGCACGCAGTAGACTCCACAAATGGCAGCTGTTAGTATCTGCAGTCCTAACATTACTCTGGCTCGGGCTGCCTCTGGCCCTTGGCATCTAGCATCAGAACAGTGTTGCCCCTGGGTATTTATAAAGAACTAGCTGAGAGGATGCCATTCTGGTTGTTTCTCTAGTTGTAATGTGGTCTCTTACAAAACAAGTGCTGTTGTTTTCATTGCAGACAGTTGCATCTATAAAAAGGTTTGTCCATTTAATGGCGGCTCTTTTTTGGTTCAACCTTCTGCGTCAGATTTCCAGTTCTGTTGGAACCAGGCTCCGTATGCGATTGGTAAGAAAACCCATCATGATACTTTCCCATTGACCGCTGTGTCTGAACTTCTACACTGCCCTGAAGTGTATTCGTGTGAGGAGCTCTCAGGGGCTTTTCTTTTAAAGTACTCCTGCTCTGTGCCCCTTTGGGGCTCTTGTCTTCCGCTCCTGGCTCTTCCCAGTGCTTGAGCACATGTGCATTCAAGAGCAACTAAATATCATTTTCAGTGCCTGCTCATCATTTCTGGGCCTCACTTTCTTCTTTCTAAAACTCAAGCACAAGGTCTCCAGCCTCAGGATGCTGAGTGACTTCTGGGCAGCCCGGTGCTTTCCAGGCCATTTTCACATATCTTGAAGCCTAAAAGTCTAGAATCACAGAGATGCAGGTACATTACCTGCCACTAAAATGCTAAGACCCGAGTGGTGCTGCTCTGTGTCTGTGGCTCACGACCTACAGCTGGGCATTGCCTTTGAGAGTCAGAGCAGAGCCAGGAATTTTCCAGTTATGCTGTTTTCCTCACAGTGAAATCGTCTGCTAATAGATCCACATTGTAGTGTTTTAAGGGATGAGCAGAGGAAGCAAGGAAACACCTGGGCGACTTGCCAGGCTTTTACAGATGAGATGGGAGAGTGCCAGATGACTTCCAGGGGCTGAGCCACTAGAGGTCGCTTGAGAGGTCAAAGCCAGAGGCATGTTGGATAGACTGAGTGCAGAACGGAAGGGCCAGAGTAAAGGACCACAGAGCACGACGGGGACCAGGCAAAGGGACACAGGTGCAATCACAGGGCACTCAGGGAAGTCTGTGTCATAACGACCATTGCAAGGAAAAGGGCTGACATTTGCCAACGAGCAAACCCCTGGAGCCCAAGGGACGCTGTGAGGGACAATGAAGGGACAAGATGCAGCCACTGCCCAGGCCCACAGCCAGAAGAACGGGGAGGAGTGACCAAGTGTGGGGATACGGGCTGGGCTTGAAGAAACTGTACAGGAACGAGTTTCCAGGCAGGATGGCATGTGCCAAAGGAGGGGTGTGTGAAGCTGTAGTCTGGGTGATAAGGGGGCAGATCCTGAGGGCTCTGGCAGGTGAGCTGCCAGAAGGTGGGTTGATGGCAAGAAGTGCGGACAGCGCTCACCTGGGTGGCAGCCAAGGGGAGAAGGTCTCGGGAGCAAAGGCCATCTAAGCACAGGGGGGCGTGGCCCTGTGAAGGAAGAAGAGAAGCAGCCAGGGCCATGAGAGACGGATGTTTCTGAAGCAGTGAGGATGACTGTGTGACGGAGGGTCATGGCCGTCCGCAGCCACCTGGCCAGCGATGGGTGCTGACTGCCCTTACCTTGCAGTTTGCGCCTTCCCATACCTCCTGGCCTTCACGCCCGACTCCATGGAGATCCGCCTGGTGGTGAACGGGAACCTGGTCCACACAGCCGTGGTGCCGCAGCTGCAGCTCGTGGCCTCCAGGGTGAGGAGAATTGGGGTTTTGTTTCCATGGGAGGGGCCTAGGGAGCCCCAGCACTGTGGGATTTCAAGTGAGCACAGAAACTGCCTCTCACCAAGTTGGGTGGTTGGTGACAATGCTACTGTGTGTCACCATTCCTGGAATGAGAAGAAAAAGCAACAAGACCGAGGGGTGGGCTCATGTGTGTGGCCTCCTCAGCCTTCATAGTGCTTCTCAGTTGTGTGGACACAACCACTGTGTGGTGATGGCAGTTGGGGACACCCAGCTGAAAAGAGAAATCCATTTGTGTCACTGCTGCCCTGAAGGACCATTCAAGTCTAGAAAAGTAGGAGCTTGAAGTAGCCGTTGACCACTTTCCAGCCTCAGCTAAAGTTTGTGTCTGTGTAATGTGGCTCATTGACTAATCCATGTCCCATAACACAAAGACTGAGCACAGCACAGGGATGCAGGTGACATCACAAGTGCCTGCCATCAATGGCACATTGGGCTGGGGCCCTGGGGCACGTGGTCCTAAGGGTCCTGACATTGCCCACACTTGGGTGGAGGGCAGCTGCTTCCTACTTGATGTGGCAAGGTCTTCCCAGTAGCAGTGCAGGTGGTGGGCATCAAGTTTAACTCCCATCATGCGGGGAAATGGGTGTGTGTGTGTGTTGTGGGTGTGAGCATTAGCTGATTTACAAACAATAGTAAAATATACAATGTTCTTTATCATAAAACCCATAGCCAGTTGGTTCTTATTAACACATTTAATTTTTGCTGAGCTCTTATATCCATAGCCAGCCAACAGCTATAAGGAAACTATGATTTTATGGTTATAGTTATTTCTCAGCCCACTTCTTTCTCCAATAAGTTTATTGTCCGTAAATCTGATATGTGGCCTACTGTTCACCTTTCTCACCTGGAAACAAACCGTAGTCATTAAACCAGAACTTCTTCTGGCCCTAGCTCTAGACTCAACACACTTTTAAGTTTGATCTTCATGTCCACATTGCCTTGGTGGAGACAGTCAACACAACCACAAATCAAGCTCTGGTTTTTAGCCTTGCCAATTGCTTTGGTATAAATAGTCCCACTGTAGTTGGTTTCCAGCTTACTGTGCAGCATCACTGAAAGTGGGGTAGGAAAAGCTGGCAGTGGCCACCAGTGGACATCATTTCCACTGTACACATCATGTTGATGTCAATAACCACAAGAGCACAGATAATAGTACATGTCTTCCAATAATTAGAAAAGGTTGTATTCTTATATTGAGCACAATTTAACATTTAATATGGCTGTGTTTAAGAGTTGGCCTGCAGAATTCCTGAAAGTTGGCTGTCATGAGTCATATCCAACATACTACTGCTGTTGTCACCAAAGCCAGCACATAGGGTGCTGGAATGTTTGCCGATGTTTGAGTGAACATCCACCTCCACTCTGCAGAATGGACTGGCAGAACCTCAGATCCCTTCCAGCTGAAACCCTGGGTGCCTGAGATTCCTACGAGGGAAATGTGTGTGGCATCTGTGTTTGCACAAGTGTGAGGGCTGTTTTCTGCTATAGATCAACACATAGATACAGGAAGTGGAGAGACCCAATCCTCAGGGAAGTCTAATGCTGTGCCAGGCACTCTGGAGGCCCCCACTGGCCATCCTGTACCAGGCTGCACACCCTAAGCATGTCAGGATGTCATAGCCAAGCCGGGGACCAAATGGGGTTTGGCAGTGATGGCGGAGGGCCAGTAGGTGTGGGGCTGGAAATCCAGGCAGCTCAATAACCCTTTCTCTTCTTTTCAGTCAGATATATACTTCACAGCAGCCGCGACTGTGCCCGAGGTCTCATCTGGAGGCAGTTCCAAGGGAGCCAGTGCCCACAGTTCTCCTCAGACACCCCCAGGCCGAGATACTGCAGTATTTCCTTCTTCCCTGGGGGAAGGTGAAGCCCCGTCTTTACTGTCTTACAAATAGCTGTTTTTAATCCATTCTGATTTCTCTAGTTCATTGTCAAATATCTACAGGTGACTACTGCCTAAAGAAGTTACTCTCCTCGCCAGGCATGCCTGTCATCCCTGCAACTAGGGAGGCTAAGGAGGAGGATGGCAAGTTTAAGACCAGTCTGAGCAACTTAACAACACCCTGTCTGAAATAAAAAATAAAAGGGCTGGGATATAGCTCAACATTGGAGCACCCTAGATTCAACCTTGAATACAGGTGGAGGGGGAGCCACTATTTAAAGCCACTTAAAGAATCTTGCAATGTGAATGTATTGGTTGTGTTCTTAAGAAACTTTGTGCTTTTAAAAAGAAAAAGGTCCCATTATGAAAAAAATTGTTTCAGTAGGGAAAAGGGAATTCAGGGCTAGAGAGTTTCTGACTTGCAATAAGCTATTCTCTCTCCTTCAGAGATATTAACGGTCATGGGGTTTGTAGCTAGAAGTACCTAGTCATAAAGACTCAGCATCATTCAGCACACCCACTGGGAACCCTGGCGGCCAGCAGTGGTTTCTGCATGGCAGTGAACACAGTACCTTGTAACTTCTTGCCACATGAGTGGTGCTTATCACTCGTTAAGATAAAGCATGGGGCCCCCAGGCAAGGCAGCTCTTTGCCTTTCTTGTCTTGCTTTTCTCCTGGCCAAGCATAACCATAACAAGTGCATTTTATCTAATCTAAATACATGAAGAGGAAGTCTATAGAAGACACAAAGCCACCGGAGCCACTGCTTGTGACATGGAAGATCAGCATGTGACAAAACCTTTCTTCATGCTAACTATATTGAGGAACAGAAAATTATTCTCTTGTAAATAGTAGCAACCTAAAGTTCTTATGTTGTTTTCTAAATCATATTTCAGGTGAAATTCAGTCAAAAAATCTGTACAGGATTCCACTTAGAAACCTAGTCGGCAGAAGCATCGAGCGACCTCTGAAATCACCCTTAGTCTCCAAGGTCATCACCCCGCCCACTTCCATCAGCCTTGGCATCGCTGCCATTCCTGTCACTCATTCCTTGTCCCTGTCACGCATGGAGATTAAAGAAATAGCAAGCAGGACCCGCAGGGAACTGCTAGGTAATGGCTTTCAATATTTGTGTTTTCACCGTTGACAAATAGACTAGCTAGTTTTACCTTTGGATATTAAGCATCCTCAAAAACTATGACTTAAAAAAAAAAACTTTCCCTTTAAGAAGGGATTTATAAATAAATTATAGTCCAGGGAATACCATATTGTTTTCCCAACAAAAGTGATGCTGTTGATCTGTATTTATTGGTGGAGAACACTGCCCAAGCCTTGCTAAGGAGGAACAGGCAGTTTATAAAACACTGTGTCTAGTGGAGTTCAACTTTTTAAATAAAAGTATCCATATATGTTTAGTAGTCTAGAAAAGCATCTATCAGGAGTTGTGGCCCACAGTTCTCAGACACCACTTTATATTGGTACATCCAGAAGTGGAAATTTACCACATTTTTACACACACACCTCACTTCCCTTATCATTTCTCCCAGCCCAGTGGCCAAAGGGGCAGGTCTGAGAGCAAGTCCAGATGCAGGGCATTTGTCATGCCCTCTTCTCCCAGCATGCACAGAGGCCCAACCAGAAAAACGTGAGGCCCCTTGGTCATTGTCAAAAGGCTTCTTATTCAGATTTGCAGAAACAAAAAATGGAAAAATTGGGCTGGGGATGTGGCTCAAGCGGTAGCATGCTCGCCTGGCATGCGTGCGGCCCCGTGTTCGATCCTCAGCACCACATACAAACAAAACTAAAAAATAATTTCTTTTTTTTTTTTTAGAGAGAGAATTTTTTAATATTTATTTTTAGTTTTCTGCGGATATAACATCCTTGTTTGTATATGGTGCTGAGGATCGAACCCGGGCCGCGTGCATGCCAGGCGAGCACACTACCGCTTGAGCCACATCCCCAGCCAAAAAAATAAATATTAAAAAATTTTTTTAAAAAATGGAAAAATTGAAGCATCATGTTAAACCAGTAAGAACTGGTTTGAACACTAGAATTGGGATCAACATGGCATAAAAATTACAAGGACAGTTGGCTTTGGTGCATTCCTCCCTACAGTAATGTTTTCTGAATAACTGGAGAAGTATTTCAGGCCACTTAACAGGGTGGTTTTTACAGTTGGAGTTGGTAAAATATGTGTATTGCTATTTTAACCCACTCTTTCATCTGAAAGCCTCATCTGTTGGCCACTGTTGTACCAAGCCTTTCAGAAACTGAAACTTGATGAGTCAGAGAAAGACAAATCACTCGCTATAAGACTGGAGGGACTTTATCTCCTTTATTAGGCTCTTCTGAGTCTCTTTGGGGACTTTTGTTTGATTGGTTAGTTGGTTGGGTTTTGTTTTGGTTTTGGTTTGGTTTTTTGCAGTGCATATATATTTTATAGTCAAAAGGGGGAAAACCCCTTTACCAACAAGGAAGCTGAGTTTATATATATCCTATCATCTTTCTTCCTGACTCTATCCCAATAACACACCAATACTCAACCAAGAACAAAAAGGGTGTTTCCTATCTCCATGGCAGCTGCGTGGTAATGACCCTAGGATTCTCCTCTGTAATCCAGGCCTCTCAGATGAAAGTGGACCCAGGGCAGAAGGAGCACCAAGGGCCAAATCAAAACCCCGGAAACGGTTAGAAGAGAACCAAGGAGGCCCCAAGCCTGGGACAGTGAGATCGACTAGCAGTGACAGGTAAAGAGGGGACCAGCTCTTGCCCAGAGCAGTGGCCCTATGTACCACAGCAGTGCCCAGGAGGCCTTCTGGCCAGCATGACACAGGGTCAGCATCTGGTTCCTCTCTGAGACCCTCAAAGAGCAGAACCTGCCAGGACAGGGCTCAACAAACAAGCAACCTTATTAGCAATCAAACAAATGCTCACTGAAACATATCAAGAGGGCCTAGGGTGTGGCTCCGTGGTAGAGTACTTGCCTAGCATGTGGGAAGCCCTGGTTCCCATCACCAGCACCCCAAAAATTAAAAAAATAAAAATGTATTGAGACTTTTTTTCACCCATCAGATGGATAGAAATTTGTAGCAACAGAACTGCTTACTAAGAGTTCCAGGTCTGAGAATGTAGCTCAGTAGTAAATCACCCACCTACTGTTGTGGGGCAGGTCGCTCAGAAAATACACCAAGTCACAATTTTGTCCAAATTGAAGAGTCTTTATTTAGCTGGCCAGCTGATGACTGTTCCCCACAGGACCCATAACTGTCTCTGTAAGAAACAGCCCCGAGCCTGAGCATTTTAGAATATTTAAAGGAAAAAAACAACATCTGGGTTGATGTAGCTGCAAGCAAGCAGGTACAGAAGCTGAACTGGGCAATTAATGAGACAGTGCAATGGGTACACTGGTATTTCCCACAGACTTTCCAGGTTGGCATAATAGCAAGCAATCAGAAGGGAAGTGGGTCAAAATGACCTTAGTTTAGTACAAGTTAGAGAATGGTTACTAACATCTAGACAATCAATCTCTGACAAGGTACATTGCCCAAGAAAAATGGAAAGGAAGGAGAACTATTTTACATTGTATAAGAATTGCTATTTTGTGTTGCCAAGTTATGCTATGTAACTATTAATGGTTACAGAGGAAGGGCTTTCACATGGGAAAAGCATTTCTTACATGATATGAAGTCTCAGGGTAAAATGGAGTCTGTTTGGTCATTGCCCATAACACTAGTATGTGTGAGCCCCTGGGTTCTATCCCCAGCCATACACAAACACTATCAATACTAACCACTGGGCATGTAAACAGGGAGGGCCCTTCTGAATGGCGGTTCAGCATCACATGTAATATTTGTTGGGTCACACAGGTTTGTCCCGTAAGCTCTACTGTTGTCCTTCAGGCAGCATCATGGCTCCTGTGTGTGCAGGGTAATGGAGCTGTGTCCAGCTTTGCTTATTCACCCACCCAACACACATTCTTGGAGAACCCAGCACTGAACAGGGGTTGAGATATGGAAATGACCCAGCCCCAGTCTGGGCCTTCAGGGGGCTCATGGGCCAGTGGCGAAGATCAAGAGCCCCACAGTCACTGCTTCCAAGGTGACAAGTGACACGGGCAGAAGCATATCAAGCATGGATCCTAGGGCAAGTGTGTATGAGCCTGACAGAGGAGAGGCAGCCCTCACTAGTGCTTTAATCCAACACTCAGTGACAAGGCCTCTGCCCCAGGGACTTTGCCCCAGAGAAGTCAACAGTAAACAAATAAGCAAATCATCTCAAATAATGACAAATGCTATAAAGAGATTTTAAATAATATAAGTATCAGGTGGAAAATAGAAGGTCAACTTCTTTTCTAATTTTTTTTCTTTTTAGTTGTGTATAGACTTTTATTTCTTTTTATGCAGTGCCTCACATGTGCTAGGCAGGCACTCCACCACTGAGCCTCAGCCCCAGCCCCTAGAAGGTCAACTTTGACAGGGGGTCAAGGAAGATTTTGGAGGAAATGTCATGGTGCTAGGCTTGGAATGAATGATAAGGAACTAGGGGAACAGTTCCTGTGACTGCAGGGACTTGGGGCAAAGAACCCTGAAGCATGCACAGTGTGGCCAGAGACAGAAGGAAAAAATGGACAGGCTGAACATAGAGAACAGGCAGGGGTGGTATGAGGCTGAGCAGGCAGAGCAGGCCCAGGAGCGTTTGTTGAGTCATGCCCTCCTTGAGACACAGAACCAGTTTGGGTCAAATTATTTAAGCAGCTATCAAGAGAGGGTCCTGAGGAGCTGGAGAAAGCAGAGGGAACTGGTTGGCTGGAGACTGGAGCAGCCCAGGCCCTGTACCTCTGCTATGGGTGGAATTTCAGCTTATCCTCAGGCCATTGGAGGATTTGAGGCAGAGTGACATTATCCAGATGTTCACTTCAGAGAGGTGAATGAATAATGCTTCAGCAACAATTCTGTGTCACACCCTGGTCTTTAGTCCTCACAAGCCCCAGAGCTGGGCTATCTGATTCCAAGGCTTGAATTGGGGAGGGGACCCCTGTACTTCCACACCTTTCCCATTGGGATGGGGACAGGGCAGACACTCCAATGAGCCCAGTTCTCTGGTGTTCCCATTGAGTCCTTGACAGTGACTTTTCTTTTCCAGGATCCCATCAGGCTCCTTGGAAAGTCCTTCTACTTCTGAAGTCAATCCCGAGGCGTGTTACCACTCCACAAGCTCTGACCAGGACCCAGTGGCAGAGAGGGAAGGCAGCCCCGTCTCGGTCTGGGGCAGCAGCCCCTTTCAGCTCACAGCTTCCTCAGATGAAGACATTATTGACTTGAAGTAAACAGTCCAAGTCTTGTTGCCATCCTTAGTTTTCTTATGGAGGTTTATACTCTTTAAACAGTTCTAACATCATTTCTCAACAAAATGTGGCTCCAGCCTGTCAGCGATCTATTGGACCAAACTTTCTGCACACTCGGCCAGTTGGGTCACTCTCCAATGTCCGGTGCCATCTTTCTTGACCTTTGTTTCTTTTCTTTCAGGAACCATCAGTCCCTTGTAATAAAGGTGGTAGATTTCATTGAAGTTTTAGATTGAAACTTTGAATAAATCAAAAATGTTCATTCTTATTTACTGCAACTTCTCTTATATTTTATATAATTAGATGGAAAATTATTTTTTCAGTATAGTTTTGATTTATGTCACACAATGTGTTTCTTTTATAAAGAGTAGCCATTGCTTTTTAACTTTATTATAAATAAGTTTTCTTTCTGCATTGTTGGCCCACTGCTTGAGTTCACTGTGATTGGAACCAGCTGTGTTCCTGCCTGTAGACTTGAGAAGAGCTGCATGGTTGGATCTCAGAAGCTCCTTCTTCCTCCTTGTGTCTCTTGATAAATAATAAGGCATAGGAACTTGTCAAAGTCTTAAGATTATTCTGTCTGATTTTGTTACTGAGATATAACCAGGTTCTCCCTTGTGATCAAATGAATCCTCAAATTCCCTCCTCTTGTGGGTTTGTCTTGCTCTTTCACATGAACCAAATCATTATCCTTCAGAGGAAGGATACCATGCATCTGCCTTCCAGCTCTTTCCTCAGAGTGAGCCAGAAAAATTGTGGATTGGGCCTAGTGCAAATGAAGTAGGAAATATCAACCTCAAGTCAGAAGAGAAAGATGGGGAAACTCCAGTTTCATTGATGTTTCCTGTAAAAATTTTAAGCTTTGTGAAGAAGGAAATTTACCTTTGGCTTTGGGTAGCTCAATCCATTTTATTGTATGTCTTCTTGCCTCCATCACCCATGGGAAAAAATTTAATAATTTGCTCTAAATTATTTGTCCACACGAAAGCAGCTTTGATGAGTCCTACAAGTGTTCTTTTTAAATGCAAAGGACTGTTGGACAGAACCTCGACCCGACAGATTTTATAGACATTTGGATCTTCTCTCAACATGGGACTGCGGGAAGACTCCCCTCTCTGACTTTTGCACAAACAGTTCAGCACAACACACCCAGGTTGAAAGAGTCTGGTTCCTCTTGGCAAGACAGGAAATTCAATCTCCAGCACTGAAAGAAAAGAAAGAGTAATAGTGGTTTTTAGGTGTACTCAGGTGGGGCTTCTTTTAACTAGACATGTCTCCTCCTACCCTTTGCAGCATTTAGCATTCCCATTCTTTGTATTTTGTTGTGCCTTTTCATTCATGGATGGGTATAAGAGGGGCCAGGGGGATACAAAATCAACTATATGCTATAGTTTGACACCACCAACAATTTTGTGAATTAGGGTCATTATTCCTGCTTATCAAATAAAGAAATTGAGGTTCAGGAAGAGGCAATGATTTGAATCTGCAAGTTATCTGATCCCAGAGCCCTTGCTCCCACCTCTGCCTTGGGTCAGCTGGAACTGGCTGGTGTTTTTCTTGTTAATTAGTAAGCTTCAAGAGCTTGTATCTGTGTTTTCTGTCATTTTTTTAAAGTTTCTTACATTAAAGCCACCTATCATTTGATAAGAGTCAGATCTGAGGAGTACAGAGAGGACAAGAGGTTGACCCTACTCATCAGGCTGATAGTGCTTTATTTACCTAAAGGGGGTAAAAATAACAACAACAAAAAATGAAAAGTGGGTGAGAGCCTGTTATGGCAACAATGTCTGCACACACATGGGGAGGAAGACTACCAGCCAAAGGAACAGGTGTATGGGGGTCTAGGACTCACAGGCTGTCTGGTGCAAGCTGAGCTCCCAGCAGCATCCTGTCTACTTAAGCCTCTCTGCTACTGCCCTGTGTTACAAAGTAAAGGGTCTGTGGCCCTCACCCACTTTGCAAACATGGGATGACCACTGTCAAAAAGAACTCATGTCTTTTGGGAAATAAATGAGCAGGTGATTACAAAGTAGTTATAAATGCTGCAATCAAGAATTTACAACCCCGGCATGAGATGCTGTGGAAGTTCAGAGGGGCAGTTGCCTATCTTTAGATATAGTGTTGTAATCAAGACTGAAAAATGTTGGTTGCTAGTACAATCAGGTGACTGCAGTGAGTCCAACCACTATCATAAGCATACAGGCCAGCATATGCTGGCATATGTTTAGTCTTTCATATAGTTGTGACCCTGCTCACAACTCTCCTGGAGATTAATTAGCATCCCTAACTCTTAGAGATGAGGATACAGAGACCCAGGGAGGGATCTCTTGCTCCCAAAGCCCTAATTCTTTTCAGAATTACACCAGTACCCCACTGCAGCTGCCTGCACCCAGTGTGTAGGATATGAATTGAGTACAGATGGCAATTGAATACAGAGCCTCACCACCCTCACTGACAGCGGTGGCATGATGGGTGCACACGTGGACAAGTTGGTTACTAGAATCCGCAGGGCACCCAAAAATGGGAGGTAGTTAAGATGAAGATTCAAGAGTCAGTGAGGTAAGGGAGAGTAGAGTTCACCATTTAAACCTAGCTCAATCACACATACAGGAATGGGGGACACCCCCCCCCCCGCCTAACACGTCCTCAGCAGGAGGCCCTACCGGCTTTGTATCCGCTGCGCGGGGTGGAGATGGGTTACCGCGCCCAGGACTAGCTACGCCACAGCCCCTAATACCCCAGCAGAAGCGCCGGGCCAGTCTCGGCCCCTGAGTCAATGGGGCAGAGTTGGGTCAGGCGACTCCAGCCCAGGTCCAGGGCAACGGTTAACACCAAGCAGGAACTGCAGACCTAACCTCGGAGGACAGTCACAGCTGCCTGGAGCTGGGGTTTCAAATTTGGGCCCCGTCTGTGTGCTCCGCCTACGTCCCTCTCCTACTTCAAAATCACCGAGAGGTGGCTTCAGGCAAACGCGGGAGGAAAAAAAARAAAGAAAGAAAAGAAATCCTCGCCCTCCACCCTCATTGGCCAACTTTTTTCTGAGGTAGCTTTTTTTTATGGTCTCGCCTCCAGACTCGCACCACACTCCAATTGGACGGTTGTGCTCTGGGCGGACGCAAACTCCGCCCTCCACCTCTACTTAAGTCAGTCCGCCCGAGGGGCGGCTCTAGGGCGCTTGGCCCGCCCACCCTGTGCTTCCAGTGGTCGACTCTGGCCTGAGGGGCGGGTGCTAGCGCAGATGCTAACCCCGATTTTGCGTTTCCATTGGCTAATACTGGTTCAGATCCCGCCTCAGCACCGCCCGCCGTCGCCCATTGGCCCGCTCTGACGGGAGAAGGCTGAGGCAGCACTCGCGGGTCCCGTGGCGGTTCGGGCGTCAGAGCCAGCTGGGCAAGCGTTGGTCGCCGACATGACGCCTGAGAACTCGGAAGAGTCCCATCCGCTCCTGAGGCCGCCGGGCGGCGGGTGAGCGGCAGGGGACGTGGCCTTGCCCTCCCACTCTGCCTGCTCCTCTCACCCTTCGCCCTGTCTCCGTAGCTCTCCCTGCGGCCGCCGCGTCTTCCTCGCCGCCTTCGCCGCTGCCCTGGGCCCCCTCAGCTTCGGCTTCGCGCTCGGCTACAGCTCCCCGGCCATCCCGAGCCTGAGGCGCTCCGTGCCCCCGGCCCCGCACCTCGACGACAGTACCGCCTCCTGGTTCGGGGTGAGGCCGGGGCTCACGCCAGCCCACCTGGGACCCCGCGTCCACCCGCTCCCCTTCCCCTCCGCYGCATGCGTCTTGTCGGCCCTACCCAGAGTCTCCCGGTCCCCGACCACCAGCCCGGGACCCCAACTGCCTTTCTTCCGAGGCTGCAGGGCGTGGGGCGGAGGGCGAGCGTGGACTGCGGTCCCTGGCCCCTCCTCAGCCCGCGGTCGCCTCGCCCCCAGGCCATCGTGACCCTGGGCGCCGCGGCGGGGGGCGTCCTGGGCGGCTGGCTCGTGGACCGCGCCGGGCGCAAACTCAGCCTCCTGTTCTGCACGGTGCCCTTTGTGGCCGGCTTTGCCGTCATCACTGCGGCCCAGGACGTGTGGATGCTGCTCGGGGGCCGCCTCCTCACGGGCCTGGCCTGCGGCGTCGCCTCACTAGTGGCCCCGGTGAGTGTCTTCCTGGATGGGGTCCCAAGCCCCGGTGCCTACAGGTATGACCTCCCCAACCTTCACCACGCCCTGGGAAGGAGGGCCCCGCCAGATGAAACTGCCTCAGAAAGGCGAAGTCCTCTGCCCAGCGGGGCCCGGCTAGTCAGCTGGATGGATTACTGGAACCCAGGGACCCAGTGGTGCCTCTTTTGCCCCCCACCTCATAACAAGGTGGCACCTGTGGATGGTCAACAGAGCCCCAGGTTAAGGCTAAATTCCCCCTACAGGTTTGTTCCTGGAACAAAGGCTGCTGGTTTCTGCGTTCCCTTGTCTTCTCACAGGTCTCCTTCCCCAGCCTCTCTCACCCTCCCCTGACCCAGAGCTGCTCACTTTGCACCCCTGACACCTGGGTCACTTACCTGGGCAAAGCATCTCTCTGGGCCTCTTTCCTTCCCTATAGTGGGGTTCATGGCATTACTCATGAGGTGGTTGTAAGGATTGGGCAAACTGCACCTGAAGCCCCTGGCCATGGCATGATCCTGTAGGGACATGGACTCTGGTGTGATTGCTGGGTGACCAGTGGACTGCTGCTGGCCAAGGCTTGGATAACCACTCATTCATCCCTCACCCTGCTGGAAGTTGAAAGAAGCTTCTCAGGGCTCTCCCTGGTCATACCCATATGCCTCTCATTTTTCACCCACCTGCTAGCAGGCGGTCAGGAGCTAGGGAGGAAGTGAATATGGTTTTTGGTTTTCATTTTTACTGGGCAAAAAACAGCTGTCTTAGTTATGGGCATAAGGCATGGGATAACTTAGAAGTGTGGGCRGCGCCTTGGTGGCCCCTGCGCCTAAAAGGAGAGAGCATCTTGTAGCAGTTGAGTTAGGGAATTGATGTACTTAACGGCAAAAGGCCCCTTCAGCTGTCAAGAGCACGTGGAGCTGGTTAGCAAGGCAGAAGCTTGGGTCCCACCAGACCAACTGCCTCAAAGTCTGCATTTTATAATGGGTATTTGTGCACATTAAGTGAACATTTGGGAAGCTCTGTGCCTGTACCTCTCCCTCATCTTCAGAAGAGCACTGGGCCTTGGTATCCTGGGCAGGGCTCTGCTGACCTAGAGCAATGCAGAGTCTCCTCAGCTTTTAGTGACAGAGGACTTTCAGTTTTAAGTAAAGTCTTGTCTTAATCATTGGCAGATTTATATCTCTGAAATTTCCTACCCAGCGGTCCGGGGACTGCTCGGCTCCTGTGTGCAGCTGATGGTCGTCATAGGCATCCTCTTGGCCTACCTGGCAGGTAGTTTGCATGATCTGTTTTGATTCCTGTTAATGGCTATGTGGCCATTTTACAAATGTGGAAACTGAGGTTCATGGTGGGCAGGGGTTGCCTGGGGTCACACAGCCAATGGCCAAGATGCCAGGTTCCAGTCTGCCCCCTGGGACCTTGGGATATGTAGGTCTTATGACTAAGTTCAGTGGAGGCTCTGGCTTGTTTTAGAGAAGGTGGTGTTCTCATCTTCTCAAAAGCCTACTTTGGTGGTCTGAGTAGGGTTAGGCACAAACCAGAGGATTCCAGGGGTGGGAGGGGCACTGCAACAATTTTCATGGTGAGTCTCCCTCAGCATATCAATGTCAGCAAAGTGCAGTATTAGGAAGGCTGATCCTCAGTACCCCAGGGGCCACAGCTGTGCTAGCCTGAGAAAGGTTCAGGAAGATACATGTCCTCATTAGAAACAGGGTAGAAAGAAGGAAGTCTTCAAACTGAACAGTCCTAGATATTGGATGATCTTTGCCACCTGCTGTGTGACCTTGACCAAGTCTCATTGCCCCTAGGAGCCTCAGTTTCCCTGTCTTTAAATGGATATAACCCCACCTAGTCTATTAGATGACACACGAAAATTACCTGGCAGCAGGTCCCAAATGAGAATAGTAGAGGGATGGCTTAAAAACCATGAGGTCCTTGAGGGTCCATGTGGGTCCTTGAGGGCCTGATGGGCCTGAGGGATGCACCATCTGGGTCTTGAGAATAGATGACAGATATGTCTTTGCTCTTTCATTTTTAACCCAATGACCACCCTGACTAATTCAGAATCCTGCCAGCAGTCTGGTTGCCTTGGGAGCCCTAAAACAAGCCAGAGCCTCCACTGTGCATAGACATTGACATTCCTAGTTTGGGGGGACAGATCCTCTGTGTCCATCTGCCCATGGCATTACCTCTGGTTCATCTTCATCTGGACTTACTGCTGCTTCTGCCTTTCATTGATCATTTTCTGTGAGTTTTGATTTACTGGTGTGAGTTAATCATTAACCACAAAGTGTCATGGAGACAATAATGCCTCAATAACTAGACTTTGTGGAACCTCTATAATTTATCTGCACCTTATTGCTAAAGCAAATGCATATATATGCCCCACCCCCACCCCCTGCTTGCAGAAGAAAGGTGTTTCATGCCATCACTGCTTTGAACTTAAGAAAAATTAAAAATTAGACAATACCCTAAATTCATTTCTGGCCCCTTTATCAGAGAACCCTTGGGCTTTGTTTAAATGTAGATAAATCTGCATTTATACTATTCTTCCTATAACCCATCTACTTCAAGGAATCAAAATCCTACTACCTCTTTAGTTGTGCTCATACTTTGATAACTCATTCAAGTGATTCACCGCTCAAGAAGTACCAGAAGGGAGAGAGCCTGCTCAGTGAAAAGTCTCCCCATTGTGTCCTGGTTCCTCCCTGCAGAAGCCAGTATGGCGTGTTTCTTGGTGACCTCCAGAGATTGTGTGTGTTTATGAGAAATGTGCACATTTACTCTCCCACCCCCTTGACACTAATGATGCTGTGTCATATCGAGGCCATAAAGAACCAGCACCTCATTCTGTTTTGTGGCTACAGTCATGCATCACTTAACAGAGACTTAAAAACTGCATTGTTAGGCTGTATTGTCTCTGTGTAAACATACTAGAGTGTATTCCCACAATCCTAGATGGTCTTGGCCAATCACTGGGCATGGCCTCTTGACACAGTCCAGAGCTATGGTAAGCACAGGATGTATGAGGCTGCTGCCCTATAATAGCACTCTGTTCTACAGCAAGAATTTTTTTAGTGGCGTGGCTGGGGGAGGTGATATACCAGGGATTGAACTCAGGGGCACTTGACTGAGACACATCCTCAGCCCTATTTTGTATTTTATTTAGAGACAGTGTCTCACTGAGTTGCTTAGCACCTCGCTTTTGCTGAGGCTGTCTTTGAACTCGCGATCCTTCTGTCTCAGCCTCCCAAGCCACTGGGATTACAGGCATGTGCCATCGCGCCCAGCAAGATTTTTTTTTTTTTAAGTAGGAGTATACTCTAAAATTTTCAAAGTATAGTGTGACAAATCATAAACCCAAACCAACCATTTCTTATCAAGTATTGTGTAGTGTGCATAACTGTATGTACTGTACCTTTGTATAGCTGACAGTGCAGTGTTTACAGCAGCATCACCACAGACGTGACCATAGGATATTCCCATGACTGCATCACTAGGCAACAGGAAGTTTTCAGCTCCATTATAATCTATGGGACCACCTCATACATGCAGTCTGTCATTGACCAAACATCATGATATAGCGTGGGACTATTTCACTGAGGAGATGTAGAATGTACATATCAATGACCTACCACCATTGCCCCAAATGCCATAGCTAGCTCATGATGTTTGCATTTATAAACAACAAGAATAGCAATATCGGGCTGAGACTGTAGCTCAGTGGTAGAGCGCTTGCGGAGCATGCATGAGGCACTGGGTTTGATCCTCGGCACCATATAAAAATAAACAAAGGCATTCTACCTATCTACAACTACCAAAAAAAAAAAAAGAATGGCAATATCAGTAATGAACAAGACCCACAGAGTAGCAAGATTCCCACTTTATAGCTGAGTATCAGGTTGGCAAGTGGGGGATGCAGGTTGCCTTGCTCTGGCTCTGATGTCTGCACCCCACCAGGCCGAGTCCTGGAGTGGCGCTGGCTGGCTGTGCTGGGCTGTGTGCCCCCCTCTTTTATGTTGCTGCTTATGTGCTGCATGCCAGAGACCCCACGCTTTCTCCTGACTCAGCACAAGCGCCAGGAGGCCATGGCTGCCCTGCAGTTCCTGTGGGGCTCCGAACAGGGCTGGGAAGAGCCCTCTGTGGAGTCTGAGCACCAGGTGAGTGGCTGGAAGGTGGGTTGAGGGAAACAGCCTGTACCGAAGGCCACACACCTACAGGGGGTGCCTGTCTGCTCTTAGTGAGGACCAGTGCTGTTCTTTCTTTGGGCAGGCCTGCACCCCACTTAGCTGGGCCCTAACCTTAGGTCACTGGGGATTCCTCTTGTATGTGTGTGTTTGCTGGCCTTGTGCATGGAAAGCAAGCACTGTACCATTGAGGAAGGAACTACATTCCCAGCCCCTGAATCCCAGCTGGATTCTTAGCGTCCCAAGAAGAAAAAGGCCAGAGGAAATTACAGATGCAGAATTGAGGACTTGGATTTAACCAGGGAGTTTAGGGTGGGGGAGAAGATTAAGAGTCTGGGCTTTAGCGTCAGATAGACTCTGCCACTTCCGGGTTGTGACTTTCCCGTCTGAGACTTGATTTCTTCAACTGTAAAATGGGTGTCTTGGGACAGTGCCTCATTGTGCTGAGGATTCCGTAAAACGGGCCATGGGAGGTGCTCAGCCAGGGCCAGGCCCAAGGTGAGCACTGGGTACTCTGAAGGTGGTTGGGACTCAAGAAACTAGTTTAGTGTTCTTTGCCCAAGTACCAGAATCTCTTTGTGACTCCTCCAACCATTCAGGAAGAGCTGTGGGAGGTAAGGACCATTTCATTTCACAAATCCTGGGGCTTATCTCTGCACCTGCCCTGAGGCCCCAGATGAGGCAGGAAAGGAAGCTGAGGCTCACTCCTCTCCAGCAAGCCTTAGGATGGTAGGTTCCAGGAGGACCCTTGGGACAGGGTGGAGGAGCACTGGTGGCTCCTGTCCTCAAGCAGGTTTTTCAGCTGGCCCTCCTGAGACACCCTGGCATCTACAAGCCCTTCCTCATTGGCATTTCACTGATGGCCTTCCAGCAGCTGTCAGGGATCAACGCCGTCATGTTCTATGCAGAGACCATTTTTGAGGAGGCCAAGTTCAAGGTAAGAAGCCTCTGCCTGACCTACTTTATCCAGATGCCACATGGATGGGGCTGCCTCCTCAAGCCCAGGGCCTCATCACCTGGCATAGGACTGCAGAGGGAGGTACCCATCTCTGGCTGGCACACTGTCCAGCCTCGGCCTCCATCCCCTCCAGGACAGCAGTCTGGCCTCAGTCATCATGGGCACCATCCAGGTGCTGTTCACAGCCGTGGCAGCCCTCATCATGGACAGAGCTGGGCGGAGACTACTCCTGGCCTTGTCAGGTGAGGACTTTGCTCTGTGTATACAGGGTGCCCTGGCCAGGATCCCTTCACCATTGTTGGAAAGCCCTTGCCCTGGCCAACAGGTCTGAATGCCACTGAGCATTGATGAAGAGAGACTGTGACAGACCAGGCTGTGATTTGGCAGCTCTTCACTGAGCTACAGGTTCTTTGACAAATCTACAAAAAGACACCATCATGGTCCCAGCTCACACTGGAGAAACTGAGGGCTGAGAGATCAGAATGACCCAGAAGCTGTGGTCCTTTTGGGCAAGTGACTTTCCCTCTCTGAGCCTCTGTGAAATGTGGGTAATGGCATTGCCTCCCTCAAGGCTCCTGGGCAGATCAGAGAAAATCTACATGTGTGAGGACCTGAGCGCAAGCCTACCCGTGGACACTTGGTGTCCACTGGCCATTGCAAAGATCACTGTTTGGGTGGTATTAAAATGCCGCCATCATTACTGTTGCTGCTTTCACAGGCCAGAGAGTGTCTGCTTAGGAACCTCTCAGAATTTACTGAGGTCCAGGGTCTAAGGCAGGGTGGCAGGGTGCTATCCAGTCAGTGCTTCTGGAGCCAAGGTGCCCGAGTGCCCAGCTGGCTGCTCTGAGGAAATAGGTCTGCCTTCTCGCCATTTTCCCGAGTACCTTGCCTGTTCCTGCCTTCTGCCTGCAGGTATGGTCATGGTGTTCAGCACAAGTGCCTTTGGCACCTACTTCAAGCTGACCCAGGATGGCTCCAACAACTCCTCACACATGGACCTCCTGGTGCCTATGTCTGCAGAGCCTGTTGATACCAATGTGGGGTTGGCCTGGTTGGCCGTGGGCAGCATGTGTCTATTCATCGCTGGTGAGAGGGGCCCCGTGGGAGGCTGGGTGAGGGCCACTGTCCCCATGCCTGTGCTGCCAGGTTCCTACAGCTGCCAGCAAGTCCAGTCTTACCTAGACTTACCTCTCTGTCTGAAGCTCTGACCATGTGCCAGGCATTGAACTAAGCCCTCTGTGTCCCTTTCACTTAATCCCCATAACAACCCTGTGAGTAGGCCCCATCTCTGTCCCATCTTATTTCTTTTTAAAAAAAATATTTATTTTTTAGTTGCAGGTGGACACAATATATTTATTTTATTTTTATGTGGTGCCTAGGATCGAACCCAGGGCCTCACACATGCTAGAAGAGCACTCTACCTCAGAGCCACAACCCCAGCCCCCATCTTATTTCTTTTAATATTTTTTTTAGTTGTAGTTGGACATAATACCTCATTTTATTTATTTTTATGTGGTGCTGAGTATCAAACCCAGTGCCTTGCATGTTCTAGGCGAGTGCTCTACCACTGAGCAACAACCCCAGCCCCTCTCTGTCCCATCTTATAGATACCAGGCCTCATGCCTAAGAAAGGAAGTAACTGGCCCAAGACCTCACAGCAGGAAGGCACAGAGCTAGAGGACCCAGGATTCCAGGACCCTTCATTCCCACAGGTTGGGAGGCTGGGGCTCCTTGACTCTGTGGGCTCTGATGCTATCTTGCTCCCACAGGCTTTGCAATAGGCTGGGGGCCCATCCCCTGGCTCCTCATGTCTGAGATCTTTCCTCTGCATGTTAAGGGCGTGGCCACTGGAGTTTGTGTCCTCACCAACTGGCTTATGGCCTTTCTGGTGACAAAAGAGTTCAACAACCTCATGGTGAGTGCAGGCCTAGGCCTCCCCTTCATGCAATTTGTTACAAAAGACTTAGGGTCAGTGGCCTCATGTGCAGGCTGAGGCTCCCTGTACCTGGGACACCAGCAGTCTTAGCCAGGGGTGCAGTGGAGACGGATGGACTGGCAGTCAAGGAACCCAGGGTATGATCCAGAAGTCTCCAGTCTGCCTTGGCAGAAGGACAGTTCATGAACATTGGGAACAGAGGCCAAGAACTCATGATCTGTGTAGAAAGAGTCCCAGGCCTGGGCTCCAGTACCACCCTGGCCAAGTCCATGCTGTTACCTCTGAACCATCTTCCTTGGCTGAAAATACCTTCCTCTTAAAGTTGATGGGAGAATTGATTCAATTCAACATTTTTCCTCTTCCTTGTAGACTGACAGATGTGCCCCGCAGTTCCCCAGCCAACAGAGAGACTCTGGAGCAAATAATCAAGTCATTTGTTCAGTCATTCATTCTCTCCAGGTCTCCTGACATGTACCATGTCCCAGCCTTTTGAAGGCACCAGAAACAACAATGGCTGAAAAGGACAGGTCCCTTTTTATGGCATGGCCAGGAAGGTGATGGGTGGTGATGGAAAGCCAGACTGGGGCGTAGGGAGGCAAGTCGGTGACAGGCGTGGACACTCAAGGTAGCCTGGAGTCTTCACCAAGCCTGGGTTCATTCAGGCAGGGCTGCCCTAGGAAGCACATTAGGAAGGCCATGGCAGAGGCCTGGGGTGGGACTTACTCACTGGATGTTCAAGAGGATGGACAGAAAAGGAGGGAGAGAGAGAAGCCAGGAAGGAAGTGATAAAGGATATAATAATGACTCAAATGTGTCTGCTGTCTAAGAGACCAAGAGAAGGGTTTTGAGGAGGAGGGGTTTCCAAGTGCCAGAGGATAAGGAGCTGAGAAAGGAAGAGACTCTGTTCTGGCACTAAAAGGTCACAGATTCTGACCAAAGAGACCCTTGTCACTTAAGAGGTGATTTCTGGCTTCTTTCTTGGGCCCATACCTTCCTCCATGCCAATGGGCCCTCTATGTCCCCAGTGTTCCTAGGGCCATGCTCTCTCATTCCCACTGCACCATGAAAAGAGAGCTCACTGGGGCCAGGAGACACATAGGCAGGGCATCAGCAGGCAGGCCTTGGGGCAGGATAGTGTCCAGACTGTAGGGAGGGAGTGAGATCCTAATTTACGGCCACGTGCACCTGTGGCCCTTCCTTTTTCTACAGGAGGTCCTCAGGCCATACGGAGCCTTCTGGCTTGCCTCTGCCTTCTGCATCTTCAGTGTCCTTTTCACTTTGTTCTGGGTCCCTGAAACCAAAGGAAAGACTTTGGAACAAATCACAGCTCATTTTGAGGGGCGATGACAGCCCCTTTCTGTGAGTGGTGGCCCCTCCTAGCTGGGCTGGCTTTGGGCTTTAGAGGGAGTGGAGCAGCCTGTGACTCTAAGCTGGACCTCAGCCTGAGCCTGGAATCCCTGACTGTCCCAGGCCCAGGGAAGCTGGCACCCAGGACCAGAGCCCCTGGAGCCTGGGTTTCCAGGGCCCTCCTTCCCATCCAGTTCTCATGGCCCAGCTCCCCAGGCTGGGAGGTTCGCCAGCCTCTGGGTCCAGTTTCTGCTGCTGCTCTGTGGGCTCAGGAACATCTGAGGAGGTCTTCAGGCCTGTGGTCATCCCTTCATACACAAGTCTCCATGGTACTAAAGCAGCAAGAGAAGAGGAGGGGCCTCTCAGCTTCTGTTTTCCGTGGAAGATGCTTTTGGAGGTTGGGTCCAAGCATCTGCTTGCTCTTCTTACTGAGCTGCATTATCAGGAAGGACTGTCTGCCAAATAAAAATTTGACACAAATCAGGTCATGACCTCTGCATGAGCCAGTTTGATGAGGGCTGCCATTACTTACATAAACCAAGCCCTCGGCCCTGCCCAGAACATCCTGTGTATTCACCTGTTTGGGTCAGCCACCCRGACCCTTATCACTTAAGAGGTGATTTCTGGCTTCTTTCTTGGGCACAGTGTTTTTGGTCATTAGCCATCAAATCCTGTTGAATTTGAAAAAAAGTTCTCTTTGACTTTAATGGACCCAAAAATCTTGTTACAAGTGACTTGTATTATTCATTGTCTAAGTAATGCATGTTTATTGCAGGAAACATATTTACTTAATATAAATTATTTTATAGTAGTTAACCATCTGCTAGGTATTGTTCTAAGCATTTTACAAATATTAACTTATTTATTTAGATAAATAAAATATTCACAGTTGCCCCTTTCCAAAGATAACCTGTTAAGATTTTGGTTCACATCTTGAAAACTCTCTCCTGGTACTCATGCTCTCTGTTGTCACTAAACCATTCTTTTCATTGCACCACTTCCAGGTGCCATAGCTCAAGCATGTGTAAGCCTGGGCATCTCCCAGTAAGTCCTGTAATAAGCCAGAGGACAGAAACCTTTGCGAGGGGAATAGAAGGTCATTGTGTGCAGGCAGAAGGGTGGAAGGGCAAGACTCCAGGGTCAGTTTCCAGAAGATGCCAAGGCAGTGACTCTATTTTCAGTGATGTGTGTGAAGCAAGGCATAAGAACATGGATTTCTGTCTGCTGTGGCAAGATCCAAAAACCCCTGGAGCCTTTCAGAAGGAGTCACACATGTGGGCAAGAACACCTTCTGCACCAACACCTACTGTCTACATTTGCATTCCCAAAACCTACAGTGGTTAGTTGGGCTACAACTAGATTGATTGTTCTTTGAATCTCAGGGCAGTAACAGTAGTACAGGTTGAGAACTAGCCCATGATGTTTGCATTTATGAACAACAAGAATAGCAATATCAGGCTGAGACTGTACCTCAGTGGTAGAGCTACTGAGATCTGAAATCCAAAACTTTGGGGACGCCAACATGACACAGACATCATGGCACACACCTATAATCCCAGTTACTCAGGAGACAGAGGCAAGAGGATTTCAAGTTCTAGGCAAGCCTGGGCAACTTAGACCCTGTCTCAAAGTAGAAATAAAAAGGGCTGGGGGTGTAGCTGTGGGGAAGGGAGGAGCTGCATGTAAAGCCAATGTGAGATCCCCAGAGTGCCTCATAAAGGGACATTTGAAATCTTTACGCACTTTTTTCTCATATTCTATTTCCTACCCTGCCTTCTCGGCAACTCCTACCCACACCACCAGCATCCACTTATAGGTGCCAATGACTTGTGGGCCCACATGCTCTTTTGTAACCTTCCCATCAGAATATGAGGAGACCAAGAGCCAGACCCAGCAGTCAGTCCTGTATGATTCCCTTAGGAGCCCAGGCCAGCACCATCAGAAACAGGACCACAGAGGAGAGGACTGATGGACATCCTGGGGCCAAGTATAGCAGAAACTGATTTACCCAGCCCAGGGTAGAAATATGCACTGTCTACCAATGCCCATTACCCATTACTGCCTCTCCACTCCCACCCCCAGAATAACTCCCAGGTAAATCCTGGCTTCTACCAAAATGGAGGGTTGGAGTGCCCACCACCCCTCAGTGACCATGGGAAGAATTGCATCATCTAGAGCATGAAACTCTCTCCACTTTTCAGTGGCCATGGGTAGGATTGCAAGACAATGGCAGGAAATCTGTAGACTAGCAACCATTATGGAATTAGCACCTATTGTATCTTGTGGCCACTGGATGAGGTTTGATGCTGTCTTCACTGGCCTGAACAAAGACACAGCCCTCCAGTTCCTACCAGGGCAGAGGCTACAGCTCCAAAGCTCATCTTGCCTTCTGAACAAAGCAAGAAGCGGGTGAGGCAGGCCGGGGCACAGATTATGGCTCTCAGACTGTTTCCAAACATGTTCCTCAGACACCCACAGAAGGCCTCGGGGAAGAGAAACCATCTCACCCTGAAGGATGCTTGAGAAGGGCTTAGGTCATCCTACACCTGAGTCTTCCTCAGTAGGGTCTGGTCTGACATCATCTGCTGCAGCTATCACACTGCCTCAAGCGTGCATACATGCTGTCCATATATGGGCATTAGGATTCTATCAGTATGTCAACGGCCCACTATTAAAAGGCTTTCACTGGGAGATGGAGATGCCTCCACTGACACCAGAAGAAATGACCAAGACCCTTATTGGTCTTTAGGGAGCAACTTTGGGAGAAATGGGCCGAGGGAAGGTCCAATGACACAGGAAAGGTGTTGGTTTACACAGATGATGGTTCTATGCCTGGAGAATTTGCAGAGGCTTCAAAGGAAAGGTTTTGAGCCATGCCTCAACCGTAGAGGAGCAGGCCAGTACAGACCAGAAGGCAACAGAGGTGCCCAGGAAAGGGAATGCCAGGTAGAGAGGCATGACATGGCAGGCTGTGTGTTGTTTCTGCCCAACTTGACCCTCTTTTTTCCACTGTCCTTTATGGCTTCTCCTGGATTGGCTAGGCTGATACACAGCTGAGATGGCTCCACAAATAGCAGACTAGTTGAGAAAACATGAGGATCCCAGCCATTGGTGGGACTTTGGTTACAGCAAAATAATGACAATCCCAAAGATGTCCATGTCCTAGACCCTGAACCAATAAATCGGTTATGTTGCAAAAAGGAATTTGAAGTTGCAGATGAAATTAAGGTCGCCAACCAGCTGATCTTAAAATTCTCCTCAGCTAGGGTCGGAGCATGCACAAAGATTTAATCCCCAGCCTCAGGGGAAAAAAAATTATACTGTGTGGACACAGTATAACCAGGATGGTCCTTTAAAGCAGAAGCGGGTGACAAAAGGGAGGACCAGAGGTTGCTGACTTTGAAAAAGAGGCCTCAGGACGTCCACACTTGCTTCTGCTTTCCAGTAATCCATTCCCTTCTTCTTAAAGGCAAAAGGATTAAGACCGAGTTGGTCATCGGAAAAATCGTTTGACAAATCCCCAACGGGCTTAGGAGGACACTCCATCCGGGCGCTGAGAAAGTCCTGATGGGGCAGACTATTCGGAAATCTCCTGAAACAGGGCCGACCAAACACTAGCGAATGTGCCTGAAATGACAAGACGTTCCCGCTCGCGGACAGATTCCTATACTTGGAGGGTTCCAGGACACCGCCCCATGGGGGGGTTACCCTGTTCAGACTGAAGGGCCCTTTCCTTGACCCTTCTCAGACTTTAAGTACGGCTTAAGACGGCCATGAAAGTGGCTGGAGATGGGCCCAGAGCCGACGCACCACCACCACCAAGGGCACGTCGCCCTGCTCCAGCGAACGTCTGCGTCTGCGCTACACCGCCGTTCCCAGAATCCTCGACAGCCAACCCGCTTCCTGTCCCAGAGTCCCCTTAAACTGGATGCCCGTGCACCTGAGGGATGTGCAACATAAAAGCATTCTGGGTGATGGATTCTGGGAGCAAGGACAGGCGGAAGACGGTCTGGGAAGGAGGCAGTGCTGGTCACATATTTGGCGTCTGGGGAGAGGAAAGGTTTGGCCAGGAATAGCGCCTGGCGGAGACTTCTGGGAAATGGAGTCCGGTGGCGGGGTGGGGAGCATATCGCATGACCGGAAGCGCTGCTGGTCAGACTTGTCGTCATGGAGCGCTAGCGTCTGCAGCGCTGGTGTCCAGGGTTCCTGAGCTCGGGCGGGTAGCCGGTTGCAGGTTGCTTGTCGTTTTCTCACGTGCAGTGACGCTGACACCAGGGAATTGCTGACAGCCGGTGGCGCGAGGTGGGACCAGTATGCTGGAGGAAGGAGGTGAGGGGGAGTGGTGGAGGGACGATTTGCAGATCCAGCCTCCTGTTCCAGTTTGCCCACCAATACTGCTTTGTGGCCGGACCAGACCCTGGTTGTCTTTTCCATTAACGGTTGGAGACTTGTCCTTTTCTTAGTCAAATAAGTTCTAGGATCATTGTCCTGGCTGATCGCTTGAGTGTCTACCTATTACCAATGCCAGGGAAAAGTGGGTTCCTGGGAAGGAAAATGAGACGTACCCAGGTGGTTTCTTGGGGTTTTGATGTCATATCTAAGAAATCATTGCCTTTTCTGAGGTCAGAAAGATTTAATTCTTATTTTCTTCTAGGAGTTTTAGCTCCTTAGGTCTTTGATATATTTTGAGTTATTTTTGTATACGATGTGAGGTAAGACTCCAAATTCGTTCTTTTGCATCCTCCAGCCTCAACCTCCTGAGTAGCTGGATTACAGGTGTGCTTCGCCATGCCCACTAAGGGTTTTTTTAAAAAAATGACTATTCTTTCTCTATTTAATTTCTTGTTATCCTTGTCAAAAAGTAGTTGCCCATAAACATGAATTTATTTCTGGACTTTCAARTCTATTCCAGTGATCTGAGTATCAGTCCTATGCCACTACACAGTTTTGATAACTGTTGTTTGAAGCAAGTTGAGAAGTATGAATCCTCTAACTTTATCCCCTCACTCCTCTTTGTCCTTTGCATTTCCATGTGCATTCTAAGGTCAACTTGTTAATTTCTGTTAAAAGTGCCAGCTGGAATTTTGATAGTAATTGCATTGACTCTGTTGATAATTTGGGGATTATTGCCATCTCAACAATATACTGTTTTCCAATATATGAATATAGGATTTTTTCCATTTATTTAGGTCTTCTATAATTTCAACATGTTTTATAGTTTTCAGTGCATAAATCTTGTACTTCATTTGTTAAATTCATTCCAGGTACTTTATTTTTTTGATGATATTATAAATGAAATTGTTTTGGTTTCATTGCTAGTTTGTAGACACGTAACTGATTTTGTGTATTCATCATGCTGCTTGCAATCTCACTAAATTTGTTTAATAGCTATAATTATTCATGTGTCAAGATTTTCTGTATACAAAATCATGTCATCTGCAAATAGAGATTTTTTACTTCTTCCTTCCAATCCTGACATCTTTCATTTTCTTGCTTAAGTGCCTTGGCTAGAACCTACATTGAACAAAAATGGTGAGAGCAGACATCTTATTTATTATTTTCAGTGCTAGGGATTGAACCCTGGGCCTTGTGCATGTGAGGCAAGCACTCTACCAACTGAGCTATATCCCCAGCTCCTTTGTTTTATTTCTTATCTTAAGGGGGGAAAAGTTTCCATCTCTCACCATTAAGTATGAGGTTAATGGTACATTTCATCATCAAATTAAGGAAGTTCTATTTAAGTTTTTAGGTGAACACAATATCTTTACATTTATGGGGTGGTGAGGATCGAACCCAGTGCCTTGTGCATCCTAAGCGACCACTCTACCACTGAGCCACAACCCCAACCTTCTGTTAATTGTTTTTTTTTAATCATGAAAGGATAAGGATGATAATGATTTGGAATGTTAGGGATCAAACTCAGGGATTAGTGCATTCTAGTCAGGCACTCTACTACTGAGCTACAGCCCCAGCCCTACTATTTGATTTTTTAAAGTGGCTTTTTCTGTGTCCAATGAGATGATCCATGTTAGGTTTTTTTTTTTTTTCTTTGCTCTATCTATATGGTGTGTGGATTGTTTTTTGTATGTTGAATTAACCTTACATTCCAGGAACAGACCCCATTAGTCATTTGTTACCTCTTCTTTTAAGCAAAAGGTAATATTTATAAACTGCATACTTAGCTGGTAGGCATCATGCCAACTGCTTAACTGTGTATTTAATTCTCAAAAACTTTATAATATAATCTCCATTTTACAGATGAGAGAAAAGAGACTTAGAGTGATGAATCTTAGTTAAGAATCTATTACAGTCTAATACCTCCCAACATCTGTTGGCATTGATGGAGTTAGGTAGGAACAGGAAAATTCCCATCCCACTGCAGATCTACAGATTAATCTCAGGCACCCTAGTACCAGCTCTGGCTTTCAAATCCCCTCTTTATAGGAGAATTGGTAACTTCATAATATGCAAACTTTGTCTCCTTGATTTCATTCTCTTCCTCTAGCACCACCTTTTCCAAATGCTGCACTTCCCTCAGAGGAAAGAGCAGGAGAGAACAGAATGGCTGTTGGGCCCCAGGTAAGTTGGGAATTGAGAGGCAGCCCTTTTTTCCTTAACATTCTTGGTGAAATTGGCTTGGGTTTTTTGGTTTTATTTTTCATCCTCTAATTACAAAAGTAATTCACTGAAGAAAAATTGGATAATACAGAAAACACAAAAAAACTAAAATATCTTTACTTCTACACAGAAACAGCAGTAACAATTTGATTTGTGGCCTGCCTCTCATTCTTCCTTTTTCTATATTTTCCCAAATTGGGTGGGTTCAATCCCTGGTTTAAATATATATGAATATTAATTTCTTCTGCTTTCTTCAGATTTTACAATTCACTTTAATTTCTTGAATTGAAACCTTACTCCATTTTCTTCCTTACTCATTTACATTGAAAATTTTGGGCTAAAACCTGGGCATGGTGATGCACATCTATAATTCCAGCTGACTCAGGTCAGGAGGCCAAGGCAGGAAAATTTTAAGGTCAAGGCCAGCCTCAGCAATGTTAACAAAATCATCCCAAAATAATAAAAAGGGCTAATGATGTACCTCAGTGGTAGAGTGTCCTGGGGTTCATTTCCCAGAACCAGAAAAGGAAAGAAAAAAAGTTTTAGACTGTGGGTTGTTGTTGTTGGTTTTTTGTTTTTTTGTTTTTTTTTTTTTTAGTATTCCAAAACTGTTACTTTGATATTTACCCATTCACAGCTGAGCTGGTCTGCTTCATGAGGACAGATATCATGACTTGTCAACACAAAATGCCACTGTAGTCTGATTGCAGGGTATGGGGTGTGATAGCTCTGTCTGCTCAGCCTTATTAAATAGCTCAGCTCTGATTTTGTTGTATATACTTCATTTTGGATTAACTAAAACATTTTAATATCTTAAAGCTGTTATATATTTTAAATTTCTTCTTGTACTTTGTATAATTTTTCTTCTTGGGCTGGGGATGTGGCTCAAGCAGTAGCGCGCTCGCCTGGCATGCGTGCGGCCCGGGTTCGATCCTCAGCACCACATACAAACAAAGATGTGTGTCCGCCGAAAACTAAAACATAAGTATTAAAAAAACTCTCTTTAAAAAATTTTTTTTTCTTCTTGTATAGTATGTACTATGTAGCTCCTGGCATTTATATATTTATAATAGGTTTTACTCTTTACTTTTTTAATACTTTTATTTATTTTTATGTGGTGTTGAGGATCGAACCCGGGGCCTCACACATGCTAGGCAAGTGCTCTACTGCTGAGCCACAACCCAGCCCTAGATTTTACTTTCTTGATTATTAAAGTGGCCCTAATAGTCTAAATATGTCAGTTTTCAAAAATAACTCTGTTCATTCCATTTAACTCGTTTCTGCGTAGAATAGATTGGAAAGGCAGATAAAACTGGAGGTCAGGAGACTAATCTGGAAAATGATGCTGGCTTACAAGGCAGTGACAGTGAGATGGCCAGGTTTCTGGCATGACCAGGCAATGAAAGAAGGTCCCATCCCCAAACTGAGAATAGACAAGGAAAAGTAGTTAAAGGTGTGAGATTCCTGTGCAACCTGGCCAGGATAGTTGCTGCCTGTTTTCCTATGGGACAAAACACCTGCACCTAGATATCTTGCAGCCACCTTAAATCCTGTGGGCCCTGAACAAACTAACTAGTTTGTTCAGGGCCCACAGGATTTAATTTGCTCACAAGCTACTTTGGTCCTGTTTCTTCTCTTTCTAGTTTCTCAATATCTTTGACTTCTCCCACACCATTTCTAGTCCCTCTATTTGAGCAGAACCCCCTCTCAACTTGATGTTGATAGCTGTAGTTCCTAACCTCTCATTTCCATCTTAAGGTGCATCTTGACTTCTACTGGCTCCCTATTGACTATAGGATAAAACTGCCATGTCTATCAGGTCATTTCAAAATTTAGCCCCCCCACCACCACCTGTTGCTTTCAACACACAAGGACCCTCTCAGCATGGGGCCTTTGCTCCTGGTGCTCCCCCTGCCCTGACTAGCCTTCTCTTATCCCAGCTTGATGTGGCCTTCTATAGATCTCCCTGATTGTCTTTCATCTCCTCTTCTTGCAACCAGTTCCCCTTTTTATTCTTATCCTGCTGGAATTGAATTTAGGTGGGAGAGGCAAGCATACTACCTGAGCTACATCACCAGCCCTAATCACTCCATCTCTTTGACATATCTTCACATTTGACCACAAAGAAGAAGCCTGGCTCTCCTACTTGATGGGTGATATCTGAATTCACAGGAATGTTTTTGTTCAAAGTTCTGAGATTCAGCTCTCATTTCCTTGATAATTTGTACCCGATTATTCACTATTATGAATGCACATTTTACTTTCTGTATTGCCTCTTCCTGGCACCTGTATTTTTGTGTGTAATTTCTTCTTTTTTGAATTTTTAATATTTTTTATTTTTTAGTTCTCGGCAGACACAACATCTTTGTTGGTATGTGGTGCTGAGGATCGAACCCAGGCCGCACACATGCCAGGCGAGCGCGCTACCGCTTGAGCCACATCCCCAGCCCCTGTGTGTAATTTCTAATACACATACTTTCTAACTTTTCATATATAAAAAAATCTATCAAGATGATAATTTGTATGGAGACAGTGGGGTTTTTGTTTTGTGTGCCAGAAGCAATTACAGTGTTAGGCAGATGATAGGTACACTTTCAGGCTCTTCCAGCCTCATGCCCGCCCCCCTTACCGTCTTGTTGCCTACACTCAAGATCCAAAGGCCACCAGTAAGAAGGAATTTGCTTTTTGTTTCAGGATCCACAGCTCTAGTAGTGTTTTACCAGGAGGGATGGAGACACACATTCCCTGCTGGGAACAGGTTCAAGGGGGAAAGGGAAACCAGCAAAGTCCAGAAACCTGGTCCTGCTGGCCAAAGAAACCACTTCTTTTGAGAGAATCAGCTCAATTTTTTAATAGTACCAGGGATTGAACCTGGGGGCACTTAACCACTGAGCTGCATGCCCAGCCTTGTTGCTCTGTTGTACATGGACACAATACTTTTATTTTGTTTAGTTGTGTGTGGTGCTAAGGATTAAACCCAAAGCCTCACACATGCTGAGCAAGAGTTCTACCACTGAGCTGCAACCCCAGCCAACCCGCCCCCACAGCCTTTTAAAATATTTTATTTAGATACAAGAGTCTTGAATTTATGATCCTCCTGCCTCAGCCTCCTGTGCCACTGGGATTACAGGTACGCACTGTTCTGGAAAGTTGTGGCRGCATTTTTCTTCTCAGTGTATAGAGAGGCCTGTAGGCCCAGATAGGGTGTTTGATGGATTTAGCTCCCTTTAATTCCTGATGGAAATGCTTTACTAAGACCCAGGCACCACATCTTACTGACATATCTCCTAGTGCCTATACTGTGGAGCCAATGCTCAACGACTATATATAATGAACCGTCTAAGTAGCCTGTGTCTTCTCCCTGGAACTCTGGGTGTTTGGGTTTTCCTCCCTTGACTAGGACTTCCAGTTTTCCAACCTGGCATGAACTCCCAGTTAGAACAAAGGGAAAGCCGGTGGGAGTGCTGAAGGGAGAAGACCTAAGAAGCACCTGTCCAGGTAAGTGAGCAAACACCAACCAGTTAAGTCTTAGAGCCAGAGGACCTCAGAAACATACATTAATAGGTCAATCCTGCAAAGTATTATGCCCATTTCACAGATGAGCATTTTCTAGGTTAACTCTCTGGAAGGGTACACCTCCTTGTTGGTGGGGAACAGAAGTCATCTTTGTTGGCCTGGCATGGTGCATCTTGAGGTGCACCTTCAGCCACTGTGGTACATGAGACAGCCCGTTGTGCTGCACCTTTACCAACCTTCTAGCATTAACCATCTTTAGAAATCCAGCAGACTTAGTAAGGTTAAAAAAAAAATCTTACTCAGCATTGGTCAGTTTTTTAAAGTAAATTAAGTCTAGTAAGCAGATTTGTGGCTCAGTGGTAAGCACTTGCCTAGCATGTGTGAGACACTGGGTTCAATCCTTAGCACCACATAAAAATAAAGGTCTAACAAAATAAAAATATTTTTAAAAAAAGAATTTTGAGAACCAGAAGATCACATGAGACAGTCAAGAGGAGCCTCAGAAATGGGAGACGCACATGTGGGGCAGGAGTGGGGGTCCACTTTTGCAGTTTAGGAAGTAAAACATACTGGGCAAAATAAGGGTCTGAGGAACTATTTATGCAATAGCCTGGCCAGACTCCTTCAGCCTATTGGATTTGTTCCACTAAGAGAATACAGGATACCTGCTTTTCTAATTTCAGACTGGGAAACTGTCCCTGAACTGCCAGGGCAAGCCCTTTCTGAAGAGTCATGCCAARGCATATGTGAGCAGAGGAAGAGCTTCAGTCTAAGACCAGTCCTGTCTCCACAACACAGAGTTCCTGCAGGAGTGAGGCCTTGCAAACCTGAAACCTGTTCTAAGAGCTTTCAGAATTCAGAAAAAATTCAGCCTCAGAGAGTAAAGCCATTCACATGTCATGAGTGTGGCAAAGCCTTCAGCTACTGTTCTTCCCTTTCTCAGCATCAAAAGAGCCACACTGGGGAGAAGCCCTACGAGTGCAGGGAGTGTGGGAAGGCCTTCAGCCAGAGCTCCTCACTTATTCAGCACCAGAGGATTCACACTGGAGAAAGACCCTACAAATGCACTGAATGTGGGCGAGCCTTCAGCCAGAATGCAAACCTCACCAAACACCAGCGCACTCACACAGGAGAAAAGCCCTACAAGTGTAGTAAGTGTGAGAAAGCCTTCAGCGACTGTTCAGCCCTTGTTCAGCATCAGCGAATCCACACTGG